TTGGTAGAGCATGCGCTCCGTAAGCGCATGGTCACGGGTTCGTTCGCGGAAGCTTCCTTGCTCCTCGCTGCTCACACCTGCCGTTGAAACCAAGGACTGCCATTTTGGGTGTGCGGCATGCTGGGATCACTGCCGCTGGCTTGAGTGGATTGTTGCTGGCAGGTTTGTTTGTCGGTTAGCCTCTTCCAGCAGAGTCGAATCTCCCAGCAGTGCCTTCTTGCCTCACCGGTTGCCGCAGTGCAGCCAAGGCCATGATCGGTCCTTACGAGCGGCGCCTGGATGAATATGCTGTCTGCCTGGCCTCGGGTTTTGAAATGTTCACTGGAACTCCACAGCCCGCTCGGGCTTCGATGATGCTCCGCCAGGCGGATTATGGCTTCACGGAGGATTGGCGGCAATTGTCCAGGTACCGGCTCGCAGAGGCAGAGGGGATTCCCACGGAGGGAGCACGTTGCGTTTTTTTTCCGTTTGCTTTGGGAGGTGTTGGTGTTTTGGTGTCTGATGATGGCCTGCCGCATCCTCGCCGCCCTCTTGTCCTCCGAGGCTGTTGCTGGCGTGCTTCCAAAGGGAGAAAAGCACAGGGGTAGACTGGTGTAGTGGTAGCGGCGTGGTAGCGGCGTGGCTATCGAGAAAGAGACAGGAAGGACTTGATTGAATCAGTTTTTTGAAAGGGTGCCCGCATGTCTTGAGTTTGGTCAGGAGATTTTCGGCGCCGTTCCACTGTCATCTTTCGGCATGGGCATGGTGGAATTGGTGGCCCACCTATTGCTCCTTTGCTTGTGTTTTCAGTAGGATGCTACAGACGTCGCAATGCCAATGTAGGCACACACATAACATGAGTTTCGGAGCATTGAGGCCAGGAACGCGTACCTCCTCCTATCCGCCCAAAGCATGTTAGATAAGTCGGAGAGATGGGGCCATTTCCACAGCGCAACCACCTGCCGCTGTCGAATACTAAGGATGTCATTGCGGCTCTCGGCGGTGCCTTGGAAACTGTCACTTCGTTATTCTGTTCTCCTGATGTTGGGGTCCAGTTGCTACCACCTCCGGCTGTTAAGAGTGATTGCTCATTCCCGCCGACGAATGGTTTGAGACACCTGTCCTGCACACTTGCTGAAAGTGTCGCATGTCCTGACTACGAGGTCCCTTCCCTCCCCTGCCCTCCCCTGCCCTCCCCTTGAGATGTAACCTGGGCGTGTATCCCCTCGCAGAGCGTACAGGAACACAGGCAAACGCAGGTCCCTCTCTTTACTGCAGGCGCACAGCTGTAGATCAGTACTCTGCTAGAACCTTGAGCAACAGGCATGGATACATGCAAGTGATGCGTTAAACAGACAGTGCACCTGGATGTGTAACATTCAGTCTTTCAACCAGGCACAAATTTAAAACACGTAGAGCAGCATGGCCGTGAAGTCGGCATTCTACAATGCCTGTTAATTGCCCAAGCGAATTACGAGCGGAGTAACACATTGAGCTACAAAAATGACTTGCGAGAATCTGTACATCCTCAGCCTGGAGACAGCTTCATGAAATGAGCAGAACACACACACAAAATGCAAATGGACCCTCGGGAAAAATCTTGCTTGACATATTTCCCTCATGTTCAGTTCCCTCTCCAGATGGAAAGCTTACTGCACAGAAATGTAGAGCTTAGCTCCACTTGATGGCGGCAATGGCAATTGCGGTTCGAGAGAATCGCATATGAATTTCTTCTCCCGTGAGAAGTGTCTCGTTTGTCTTTTTGGCAAATACTGTATGTTGTCTGAAGTACCTTATCCTGTGAAAAGCATCTTGTTTTGAAATGGCAGGCAGTAACGAAGACATCAGCATCATGATCCCAGTTACGGTCACGAGTCCCATCGCCAAGCCAACGGTAGTTGTCAACTTCGAAGATGACAGCAGGTTGAAGGGGTGCGAAAGAATCGGGCCGACCAGGATCACGAGGCATTGGTCCGTAGAACAGTTGTTCCGACTCGGAGTCAAACCTACTCAGTCCTTTCCTTTGCTTTGCCTTTGCCTTTTGTGCGCATGACCCCTGCTGAGGATAACCCGCACGACTAAAGTGTGTGGCATGGCCAATGCTAAGGATGCCCGAATGTGGCAGCCCATGTTAGGGGTCCAAACACTTGGATACCCCCACTCGGTAACTCTCCCTGTGGAGAGCTTCCCTTGGACGATATCCACATGCACTGAATTGCACTGACATCTTACACAGACTGCAGATCTTGACTCACAATCGCTCCTGAGTAAACATGACATGTTGCACTGAAGCAAGAGCCGCGTACTCTTTTCGGAGCCAGGCGCTCAGAAAGGCTTTGTGCTCAATCATGGAACGAGAAGGAGGATGTGAATCAATTTCCTTTAACCATCCGGTTTGAACAGAATTCAGGAGGTTTCCAGGATTAGCACTTCGTTGCGTGAGACAGTCAGATAAACAATGTTCGGTACGCACGTGGGAAAGTTCGGCGATAGCTCCTGAGCAAGCCTCCTTCCTCAACATCTGAGTCATGTGAATGGTTTCCTGTTGTTCCNNTCCGGAGAGTGCGTGGTGGAAGCAGTAGAAACGAGATTGTTCGCATCAGTCCTAATGTGTTCTCAGCATCCAATCCACTGATATCCTTCCACAAGCTTCGGAGCATCTGACAGGTACCAGAACATTTCATGAAGGCGTACAACTCCGCGACAGTAGTACAAAGGGCCGTTCGTGTAGTTTTCGTCGATTCGAAGAAGACCAAGGAACCTCGGGTGTCTTTTCGATTCTCGTCCCTTTCATCGACAATAAGGATCGTCATCGCGCGCTGAGATGACTTGTCGCTGTTGTT